ATCAGCAAGTACTCCAAACCTTTGTGAGTCCCAGTACTCACAGTCACAAATACAACACAAATCACTGCAGACGGCTGTGACACCAGTCGTGCTGGGGTTTTTTGAGTTTTGACGTTTCATTCAGAGCGCTCGCAGTCGATGTGAGCGTAACCGCAGGCTGTCTGAATCAAGTGTGAACTGAAAGAGAATTCCTTGAAAATGCCAGCTGTAAGTCACACAGGAGATACAGCCTTGGCAACGGGAGATTGCTGGTGTGTTGCTGGTGTGTTTGTGTGTTAATGAGGCGGAGCTGTGTTGGAGGTGCCAGTCCTCCCAGACTCTCAGTGATAATCTCTAAACTCTGCTGGTATTCGCTGTTTATGCCACGGTTTCCACATTGCTTTCCTCTGACATTAGCCTTGTATAAATCAGACTGCGACGGACAGACAGACAGACAGACAGTCAGACAGTCAGACAGACAGATAGTCAGACAGTCAGACAGTCAGACAGTCAGACAGACAGTCAGGCAGACAGACAGTCAGACAGACAGACAGTCAGACAGACAGTCAGACAGTCAGACAGTCAGACAGACAGACAGTCAGACAGACAGTCAGACAGACAGTCAGACAGACAGTCAGACAGACAGTCAGACAGACAGTCAGACAGACAGTCAGACAGACAGTCAGACAGACAGTCAGACAGTCAGACAGACAGACAGACAGTCAGGTAGACAGTCAGACAGACAGTCAGACAGACTTCAGGCAGACAGACAGTCGGACAGACAGTCAGGCAGACAGAGAGTCAGACAGTCAGACAGACAGTCAGGCAGACAGTCAGGCAGACCGTCAGACAGACAGTCAGACAGACAGTCAGAGAGTCAGACAGTCAGACAGACAGTCAGGCAGACAGTCAGGCAGACCGTCAGACAGACAGTCAGACAGTCAGGCAGCTCCCTTCCTACTGGAGACTGGTACGGAGAGAGGGGAGCTGCCACAGGCTGCACCCTGGGCCCCCACCCATCCACCTCCACCATCATCCCCAACAGCAGCAGATGTGCTCTGGTTTACTCTGCTATCTCCTACCCCCACCCAAACACACACACACACACACACACACACACACGCGCACAAACATAATGACACTACTAATGCCTCCAACCATACTAAAATATTCACTCTCTGCTCTCCTACATACTTGGCTGTAGTACTCTGTGGCTCTGACTTCGTCAACAATAGTAGTACATGTACTGCAGTTGTATGCGGTACAACAAGACCTCCCTGACAAAAAAACAACAACAACTGAATCATAAAAATGTTGTTTTAAAGACAATTAACTGATTATCGTAACCAGACAAAACGTGGCAGTCGTGGCTGTTGAAGCTCAGCGTATCATTACAAGTGCATTGCAACATGAAGCTGTTGCTCCACACCTTCAGCAGCCTCTTAATCCCAGAGCTATTGAAGAAGCTGCACCTGGTGCTGGGCTCTGGCGCTCCCTGCTGCTGTCTCCCCATCCTGTCTTCACTGTTTAACTCCATACCTTAAAGGACCTTAAAAGTCCAACGTCCAAAGTTTGTTGTGTTTCCCCTGTTGTAGAAGTTCTGTAATTCATATTTTCACACACGAAGTGCTGACACATTTTACAACGAGTCTCAGATGATATAAATATAAATATATATATATATATATGTATAGTCTGAGGTTTTTATTTTCTTTTATTTCCTTCAAATCTAAGCTTTCACCTGGTTGGTTCAGGGCAGAGTTTGATCTTGTCTGTGCTGGTTTCAGGGTCATGGTCAGGCAACAGCACTGGCACATCCCCATGCAGAGGACGGCCGTGTTATAATCCTCCTCCTCTATCTCCTCAGGCCCGGCCGTGGTCAGGTCCTGTAGTCGGCAGCGGGGCCTCCTGATGCTAATTGGAAGCTCTGAAGTATTGGAAGGCATGCAAATATGTCCGGCTTTACTCGGCTACCCTTCTGTTCCACTTCCAGTTCTCCCCAATCCCCTCATTCCACCTGACTGGAGGAGGGGAGGAGGTGAACACAGCTGCTGGTCTTCCATCCCATGGGCACTCTCTGTGTTGGAAGGGGGGTGGGGGGTGCTGAGGGAAGTGCGGTCTTGATTAGGAGCCAGTCGTCCAGGTCCGTGTCATGTACTGTACATCAGAGGAGATCAGGAAGCCAGCCTGAAAGTCAGATGACACCGAGCACATGCACAGCTCTACCTAACCAGCCCCCACCCCGAGCCCCTGTCCCTCCACCTTTTATCCTCTCCCTGCACCGTCTACAACTGGTGTTTCTATTTGCCACCGGAGTTCCTTTACAGTCTGTACGATTATCGCTATTTGAAACTAGCCTGTAGTTAGCCTTGTCCTGCTTTAACGTCTGTATTTACTATATATGTGTGTAGCCATTTCCTGCTCTTTGATGATTTTAACCCCTTTTTCTAGTAAGCCAGTGTAATTGTGTGGTGTTGTAGGGTTACCTAGTTTACCTCCTTGTCTTACCTTAGATCAGGTGTGGACAAACCTTTTGACCCGCGGGCCATTGTGGGTCCTAAAATTTGACGAGCTGTAGTTTGCCAATGCTTGCCTTAGATGCTATCGCAAAACACAAATCCCTAAACGAGATGGGACAGATTATATGGGCAGCTCATGAACCCTGTCTGTTTCCAAGAGAAGAAATTACTTTTTTCCCCTTTTTTTAAAGGGCAACAGTTAGTGTTTTTGGCTACAGGAGTTAGCAGGGTAAAGAACCAGAAGAGAACAGGCACGAGGAAGATGTTTGTACTTGGGCTGGGAGCTTGTCAGGAGCATAAGGCTTTAGCCTTTGATGAAGCCCTTTTGGTTCAGGACTTGAGAGTCACTTGACATGCAAAGGGTGATAGTCTTCATTATTCATTATCTGCACCGGAGTCTTTGGTCTCCTGCTGCCCTGCTCTGTCTGAGTCTGAACACAGTGTCTGTACTGTGATACAGTGTGTGGACAATGTGAGGGCAACAGGCCCGAAGACAGAGAGTTTGACACAATCTTCTAGAGAAAAGTGTAGAAAACTATTGATTTAATGTTACATATTATTATAGTTTTTCAGAGGTAAAAAAAAAGCTAGTTTATGGCCTCCTTGTGGTGACGTTCACTATTGCATGATGGTCTAAACCAGTGATTCCTGAAGTGGGGGGGCAGCTAGACACAGTTATTTTAATTTAAAAGGAGCCACATTGAAAAAATGCACTGGTTTGTAATTTTTTTCCCCACAACTTGATGACCTCACACCACAGGGCTCTGAGGAAGGTGTACAGCTCCCCGTGACAGGCGCGGTTTACCCTGCTGCATGTTTAAGCTGCCATATCCTCAGCACCGCCATCTGTTAACAATTGACCACTGCATCAGACGTTTCTTATATCCAGTAGGCAACTGCATGTCCACCGACTGAGTTATGGGATTAGATTCATATGAAACAATAATGTTGTGCTGGAGGGGGGGAGAGGGGTGTGAGACATGAGGACTGTGTTTAAAGCTGTACTTGTAAAAGAGGGTTCGCCATGTATTATCTGTGTACGCTGGACACAGTGAATTAGGAAAAAAAAACAAAAAAACAAAATTAAAATGGTTTAATTTGTCTCATTCAAGAAGAAACGTTGGTCTTTGTTGTTGTGGATCAGTGATGTTGGGAAGTCTGTCCCTCTCGTCCTCTCCCACCTCAGATTTTTCCTCTCCCAACCTCCCTTCAGTTGTGTGTCCTCTTCGAACCCTGACCAACGCACATGTGACAACCACAGGGAGAGTACCACGAGCCCTCTGTGGCAGCGTTTTGGCATAGCAGGGCATAAATTAGCCCTTTCACTGGCTGCGTCTCCCGCTCCCCCCCACCCTGGTTTGTTCTGTCTTCTCCTTCAGGTCTTCTTCCACTTCCAGCAGCACATGAACACAGTCACTGGGAGACAACAGTGTCCAATAGGCCGTCATTCGTCTTTACCACACACTGTGCTTCCCGGCTCAGGGACGGCTCGTCACCACCCCTCTGCTCGTCTTTACTCTCAGCGGAAGTCCCCCTTTCCTGGAGCCATCACTCTCGGCACCCCTGGGTCAGGACTTAAATGTGACTTATGGGCTCGGGCGGGGACAGGCTCCACAGTTGGTGTTTGTGCAGCGGCTAAGAGCAACACATATGGCTGAGACGTGTGAGGCACCGGTTTTCGCTGGATGGAGTTTTGGGCGGAAACCACCGTATTTTCTCTGCCTCCTGCTTTGAATAAAAGTGGTCTGGGTTTGGGTTTTTCCACAGCTCAGCTCTGCTCAGCCGTTTGACCTTCCTTTCAAACACCATGTGCTTCTGGATCTGACGCTTCTGGTCTTTCTGGACCCACTGGAGCTGCTGCTCACTGTCACATGTGTGATATCAAATCATACTTTTTACCAGAATGTAGACCCAGAGGTCTTGTGACGGCCATTCTTGGCTCAGATAAACAGTTACTGTTCATTATAGGATCATCCATTATTCCTTGTACATATTTTTCTACTCCTAAACTGAGTCTCAATTACTTTTACTTTTTACACGTTTACACTTTGATTACTTAAAATGTACTATGAGTATTCTCCATTTGATTTATTCTATTTAACTTTTTTGGTTTCCTGTGCACATAAGACATATTTATAAAGAAATATTTTTTAATATATTTTATATTTTACTATAATAAACGCTGTCTTTATGGGAAGGTAGAGTTGTCATTTGGGTCACTAAAGACACTAAAATATTTATATATTCTAGAAGTTTTCTTAGAATCCTGGAGACTGTAACTCTATTTTGATCATTTCAGTCATCTGGCTATCTAATATATATATTGAGGTGTCAAATTATCACGTCACATTTAGCACGTTATGTTTTTTTATCACGTTGATATGATTTTTTAATCTCTAACTTCACTGTAGCTGTATACTAGCTGAATTTTTTTTTTATAAAATCCTTTTTTGTGTGTGTGTTGGGCTTCTTGTGCTCGAGTTGTTGTGGGTGGGAAACAATTGTCAGTCACACCTGAAGTGGACATTGATTGGCTGTCATTGTGTTTGGGTTTGTTGTAGCGTAACCTGATAGCCTCCCATTGATCTTGGGGAGGACCGAGTGAAGAGCCGTGAGGAGACGTGAAAATGGAGGAGCGGGAAATTCACATTTCAAGAACGCCCCGACGGCACCATCGATAAAGGTAGAGCGATACGCTTTCTTTGTAAGAAGGAATTTGCTAACCGCCGAAACTGCTCAAGTCAACGCAACGCTACCTGTTACGAGTGAAGCCACAGGTAACGTTAGCAGCGAAGACGTTAGCAATTTAGCGAGCCATAGCAAAGCTCTTCGCCAAACTAAACTCGAGGAGAACACCCCGCGTATGAGCTTTAAGTTTGCGAGGGACAACATTTTTCTTACCTAGTGCACATCACTGCATCAGAATCTGACAGAGTCATTAACCAAACAAACTAATGACTTTGGACAGATCATCAGGTCGCGGTGCTTTCTGGGTAAAGTCAGTCAAATATATCAATCCACCACCTGTGGGCAGTCTGGTCAATACGGGCATCTGACAGAGACACACTGTTTCACACATGACTTACAGACACAAGGTTTGTGAAAACACAGTCAAAGTCAGTAAGACAAGGATTTGTATTTTATTTTTGACTCTTTTTTTTTTTTAAGATTGAAAAAAGTAAACTTGTGTCTCAAAGCCATATGTGAGTTTAGGTAAAAATCAGTTTTTCGTCAGTTGGGAGGTTTCTTTTCTGTTATGATGTGATATATTCATTAATTTTTTTTCATAGAAGTATTCCTCCTGATCATTTCCAAGGAATCAGATGGTGCTGTGTTCATCTGCCAGGATTCTGCCCTCTGTATGGTATTTCTTGCTGTTTGTTTCTTTACTTTTGCAAATATAATTTCTGATTTGGACAGTTTCAAATCTGAAATAGAATAATAGCTAAACTGAATCATCATTAAAATTGACAAATGATCTGCTGAAAGGGACTTAGCAAGATTAGCTTTGCTTGACTGAGCCTCTAAAAATGTTTTTGTTTTAAAAGAGGTGATTAAAAAACGATATTACATTAATTAAAAAAAAACAGGCTTTTTGAGTTGAGCTTTTTTTTTACTAAGAAGTAAGACTAAGAAGTCTTTTTCAAAAGTCCTATAAAAGACGGTAGAATGAATGTGATAAAAAAGCTTTTGTAAAGTAAAACATGAGCCTGAACTGAGGGTTTGTCTTCACGGAGATACAATTGTCAGTGCATCGTTGTCAAAGTCAGAGGCAGGGAGTGAAAGGCCTTCAGCTGTTGTAAGTGTTGCTCTCAGACAGCAGGGCACAAAAAGCCACAGAGCTCCATTGTACCCGTGTTTTCTTCTGTCAGAGCAGGATGGCTGTCCAAGGTCAGTGCCTCCCAGTCTAGGAAGGAAAGACAGTCAAGAACCGGGAGGAGGAGGAGGAAGAGGAAGAGGAGAGTTGAGCTGATAATAGCAAGGACCTGGAGGACGTAGGAAAAGATAGTAGAGCGAGGTAAAAACCATAAGGGTGGTGCTTGTGTGCAGCTGTAACCAGCAGTAATGGCTGTGCTCCGTTTCATGTGGAGAGGGCCCAGAGAATTACTTGGACATCAGTAGCGGGGGGTGGGTAGGTGGGGGGGCTGCAGGACACAGCCTGACGGGATGAACCCTGACCCCTCTTCTTGCCAGAGCTGCTTAGGGTCCCATTAAATACCCAAAGGGGCCTCAAGACTAGGCAGAGTGTGTTAGATCCCTCAGTGGTGTCAGATAGCTCAAGGCTCTTTTTAAATGTATTTTTCAAAAGGGGGGAAATCAATAAGTTGGGTTGAAGCGAGGCAGCTACAGAAACATGAGCCTGTGATATTTACTTTGCTGTAAGGCACAGCTTGTTCACAGCACTTGTCAAAAGAGGAGTCTCCAAGAACGCGTTTGGTTGTGAGACAGAAAACGAGTCGATAAATGGACCTGAAGTCACTCCTTCACTCTGAACACAGCGGCCTGTAGTCAGTCTGGACCAATCGGATCAGAGGGAACAGAGAAAAGACATCTGAAAGTGTTGGATGTAATTTATTTAATATCTGAAATGGATATAATGTTAAGAAAATGTGGCTTTGGTAATGCATGATGGGAAACGCAAACCCTGTTTTTAGAAAATTGCAATCTCAAGTACTCATAGTATTAAATACTCTGTTTGTGATAGAATCTGCCTCGTTTTTTTATTTTATTTTTCCTGAAAATCTGTCTCCATCATTGTTCTAAATATTTTACCTTTAAGTGTAATTTTTTTTCCCCCCAGGTTCCTCTACAGATTCGGTGTTATTCGTTCCTGTTCTTACAGAGCTAGAAATCCAATACGTTTACACTGTGGGAAAGAAGAAAAACCATCAAGAGTGCACGTCTCAGTCAAGATCACTCATCTTTCATTCCAGGGACCACTACAAACAGGTAATACCTTCATTTTTAACCTTTTGGGTTTGTTTATATACAGTATATATACATATATGTATATATATATATTTTTTTTTTCTAAACTCTTTCTAAACCCTTTAGGACACGTTTTAAAATAATATAATTTTTTCCGAAATTACACATACAGTGGAACCCCTAGATATGACCTTCCAGAAATACAACTTTTCCATGTTAAGGATCTGCAACTATTGTAAGATCTTGTAAGATACTGATTCGGGGAAATATCTAGTTACGAGTGCTCATAATTTAGTCATTTTGTGAAAAAAAGTGTTGTAGTACAATGATATAGACACAATAAAATGTCATTTAACTGTGGAACAGTGAAGATGGTATTATTTCAGATTTATTCCATTTTTTATGACTTGTTCTCTAATTTTGATCTCCAGTGTATATATATATATATTTTTCTTTTCTAAACTCTCGTCTCAACCAGTCATGATGAACGTAAAGAATTCCTCATCACTGACAGTTGCTAGAACCCTTTAGGACACGTTTTAAAATAATTTTTTTTTTCCTAAATTACACATACAGTGGAACCCCTAGAGATGAGCTTACCGAAATACGTTTTCCATGTTAAGGATCTGCAACTATTGTAAGATTTTGTAAGATACTGATTCGAGGAAATATTTAGTTACGAGTGCTCATAAAAAAAATGTTTTAACTCGTATCTCGTATCTTCTCCCCGGACAGTGAGGTTTAAGACAATGTGGTCCGAGTTGTAAAATTCCACTGACGGTTTTCCGACCATTCATCGTGGACTTTGTACAAACACAAAGCAAGTACTTGGACTCATATTGTGTCTGAGAGGGAAAGCAGGCAACAAGCCCCCCTGTGCCCCCCTCCCCTCAGACTAGCCCATGGCAGACCAGTGTGATGGTGATATTGTATTGACCCTGCGTATCAAGGGGTCACAGTGGGGAATTACTGTGTCCGCTTGTCAAGCTGAGACCCACATTCTGCTCGGAGGAAGGCACAGCTTCAGAGGACCCCCCCCAACCCCCCAACTCTGGAGCACACACATGATCATGTACACACTTTGTTTCTCTTTCTCTGACTATGTTCTTTTGAGCACTCTCTCTCTTTCATTTTCTCTGTCTTACACACACACACACACACTTGCTCTCCCTCATTGGGTTTATGGGCCTGTTGTTGCCCTCCAGGGGCAAGTGAGGGGAGAGGAATTACCAGCTTTAGCAGAGCTTAGGAGTCAAAGTGACAGACATTGAGAGCTGATGTCTGCTGCTACATCAGCTCCGAGGCTATAAAACAATCACAGCGCAGATAAAAGGAGAAGAGTGGCACTCAAAAATGATGATATACAGGAAGATAATATAAGAGGAAGCTGCTAATTGGCTTTTAGTCCTGATCCGCATGGCACGGCTGCACATTCCGTGAAGAGTTACAAATCTGAAAAGTCGGGGTGCCGACTGTGCCGACCCACTGAAGAAATTCCCAGTTTGTTTACAAACGCAAGCAACTCATGTTGAGTAATGACTTTTGTCATACTCCCCCTCATGTTCACGTACAGTACTACAGTTTTCTCATTTTGTCACTGCACACACAACGGATCAGTCAACCTGATTGATCTGTTTTAATTCATTCTTTATTCTCTAAAAATGTCTCCCATGGAGTACCCTGGCGCCCCCTAGGGGATGCATGCATCGCACTTTTAAAACCAGTTTCCTTAATCAGTGGTTTTTAAAGATGGGGCCTATCAGGGGGCGCTAGATGGGCTCAGAAAATTGGAGGGATTATTAATATTATAATAGTATTTATTATTATTATTATTATTATATAGTAAATTATTATTAGGTATTAGTATATATATATATATATATAATTATATATGGTAATTATTGAATTGTGAATTAAATTAAGAAAAAACATTCTAAAAGTGGATGTTTCTTTACATACTTTTTAAGATTGTCTGTGGGTTTGCCAACAGGGTCCCCAGTCAGAAGCTAATGCTGTTTGGGGGGTCCTTGAATTTTCCCTCAGCCTCATCTCAAAGCTGTGTCTCACTTCTGTTTTTATAAAACAAGCTTGTCCTAAAAAAAAACAAGTTCATCCAGAAGCTCCCTGACTAAGAACACATTATGGATGTTTTCTACTCACAGTGAAGCTACACTGACCTTCTGACCTCCTGACCTTGTCCTATCTCCACCTGTACGTTCATCCTCACCACAGTTTCTCCTCACCCCGTGCAGGGACATGTTCACGGTGACTAGTTGACCTCTCCCAGCAGCCTTCAGTGTTCTCAGAAAGAACCTGTCTTCTGTCCAGTTTTCCTATCAGCTCCCCCATCACACGCTGACACCACTGCAGCACTTCAAAGGGCTCTGCTTTTGATGCTAACCATCAATATGCATTTCATCCTGCACGGCTTCTTCCACAGCATTCCTCCTCTGTGTCTCCTCTCCGCAATAATTGCCTTCAAAGTCCGTTAGCGCAAATTACTCAGGACCAGTGGTGGTGTGTTAGAAAAGTCAGGATATGTGTGTCCTGGAGGTGGGCCGCATCGGCTCTGTAAGCTCTACTTGTGGTAATAGGGTATGGAGGATAAGCCGTGTCGGCGATCCTACAATAATCTCCCTGTGTCTGGCAGCACGGCTTCTCTAAGTGTTTATTAAAGAAGCAGCAGCTCACAGTTTTCCAGGCTCACAGGGCACGCCGCTCTAAACATGTGAGACTGGTAAGCATGTTTAGTTAATTTGTCGGACCGCGTGTAGGCCGTTTGCATCTGCAGGAGACGATTTTCAAGTCGATGTTTAGCTAATGCCGCCAGAGCCATTTCACCGCTGCGTCCGTCTCTATTCCCTCTCGGTAAATTCATGTTTTACTCTGTTAGTCAGATCAAAGTGGAGACGCCCGGATCAAAGAGCAGCAACACGCTGCTTGGGTCACATCTGTGTTGTTTACATGAATGCTAAAGGCACTCATATCAAATATTACTAACTTTGAAAGATATGTGTGTTTGAATCACAGCATTTTGATGTAACTTTTTGATGTACATCAGTGCATTTGGGCAATAATTTGGAAAAATCTCTCCACAATTTCACAACAATTTTCCAAGCCTTCAACAAGCCAGGAGGACTGAGCCTCGGTACGACCGTGGAACCGTTTGTACCGCGCACTTCATTTTCAAATTTTAATAACAGACTGGCTGTAAACAGCCGAGCCTCCTGGAGGTGTTCTGTCAACTTTCCTCGGCTCTCGGTGGACTTTACGGCCCCGGCTTCTTCAGTGATAAAGCCATGAGACTTGAACTTCTTTTGAAAACACTGAATTTGTTTGCTGAAATTTCCATCCAGGAAATTAGCCAAAAAATGAACTTTGAAAACAGTAAATAGCATAAAACAACGAAAGGTTTCCAGAAAATAACAGGAAAGGAAATAAAAGTTCTGACTTTATTCTCAGAATTCTAAAATACAATGTCACATTTTATTAGACTCAGGTAACATTTAGCTATTTTTGCTTTGAACTTTGAACTAAACGTGGGCCATGAGTTAGATTTGCTAATCGTAATCAAAACTTACAGCTCTCTCGAATCACATCAATGACCTGTTTCTAACTTCTTTTGATTTATGTTTTGGTAGCCTTAACCTAATGTAGCAAACATTTATTTACCTTAATAGTTGTCATTGTCTTTGGTAATTTCACTACCATTTTTCAAACATTAACTAGTTGGGAAACGTTTGTTAGCTTCGAGGGATTGTTAGCCAAGTTCGGTTATTTTTTTGTTTAGCTTTCTGACCTACTGTATCTGTATCTCATTATCTTTCCCCAGTTATTCTGTGCTAATTAGGGCGGTTGTATAATTCGTCAGCTGTTTTTATCTAGCTATTTTAGCTAGTGAGTCTTTCAGCCAAGACTAACAGCGAACACATCATTTCCTTTTTTCATGGTTAAAAAATGATTCTAATCCCAGAGCAGTTTTGTTATTGTTGGAGCGAAGGAATGTTTTTATTGCTTTTGCTTTGCTTTTCTGACTAATCTAAATACATAATAAATAAAAATCAATGTAAAAGGTGAACTTTTTAATCAGACTGCTGAAACAAAGACACTATGTCTGTATTTGTGGCTGAAATCGACTGGAGTTCGTGAGGTTGTTGTTGGTCTGTTGACCTCATATGTTCTCTGCTCGGCATAATCTCCCCCAAAAGGGAGGATGAAGTGGAGGAGGTGAAGTGGTGGGTGGAGATAGGCTTGAGAGGGGGTGCACCTAGAAGCAAGAAGGGAGGGAGAGAAGAAGAAGAGGGAGGAGGGCAGCGGGGGTGGGGGGGGGATCAGTGACCTGTGAGCCAACCTGCTGTTGGGCCGGGGGCTAAACAAGTCCCCCCTCACCCAAAAACCCCTTTACCTCTAACTGGATTATAAACCTTTGCCATTCTGCTTGTAAAGATGTGACACACACGCACACACATACTGGATCTGTAATACTTGTGGGGACTTCTTTTTAACTAAGTCTGCACTTGAACATAATTATGCATGTTTAACCTTGATAAAAAACAAACTAAAACTAAACTAAAATAACTGGAAGTAAGTAAAGAAAAATACCTGAGAAAGTAAGTTAGATGAAAAAATATAAATGTGAGCCAAACACACACATCTTCTGTAAAGGTTAACAAATATTGTCAAATGAAGGTAAACTGAATATTTATACAGATTTTATTTAAAAAGACAAACACAGCAGAAAAAGGAAATAAATCTTGCCCAATAACATTTATTCTAACATTTACCTAAAATATTTTAAATAAAACCCACGGCCAAAGAGGTCACGTCTCCAACCCCAGCCACTCCCCCTCCCTTAACCCCCTAATTTTGTTTACATCAACTTGTTAATTATCTCACACCCAGTGCAAATTCAATATGCATTCATCAGCTGAAACGTAAGAAACAAGGAAAATGTTTTGGTTTTTTTTGTTCATAAAACTGGAATTACAGACTTGTGCTCACACTGCAATACATTTACTGTGTTTTATTTCCCGGTGTCACATATTCAAGCCACATCTTAGTGTCACTGTGATCATCTGTGAACAGATCCCACCCCAGGGTCTCCAGGGTGTGAGCCCCTGCCTCAGACATGGACATGAACTATAGAAAACTGATGGTGGCGTTGTTGTTTTTTTACAGGGCCACCGAGCTGCCCCGTGACCAGATGCCATAGATGTCCCAGTAACTGACCTCACCTCTGGATCGTCCTTGTCTTCTGTCCTATCTGTGCCTGCAGCTGACCCGTGACACAGAGGTATGTGTCGGAGATGAGTGTGTCAGGGGAAAGAATGTAAGGTTCAGTGGTTTCAGGTGATCTGCTGCGTCTGTGTCTGGTTCTGTGTTCTCTCTGTGGATTACTGCCAGATACTCCCAGATATCACACACACACACACACACACACACAAAGCACGTCAGTGTTCTTTGATAATATATTGTTGTAAGGCTGCAAATGCCCCGAGCAGACTGAGGTTCAGGCTGTTTTTTGACTTTAACCTGGTCTGAACTTAAATTGATCAAATCCCTTGGACTCCTCTGGTGTGAGGAAGTACTACAGATAGACATCTAGTATTTAGTAAATATTCTGACCTTAACACAGTGACCTCCCAGTACATGGTGGTATAAAGGGACATGTTCTGTCCACAGATGAACATTTGTAATAATGAGAATGTACCCCAACCCCTGGTCCGGGGACCGGTGCTGGTCCGCAGGTCATGTGGTACTAGGCCGCAGTAGAACACAGTGAAAAAATGTACTTCATGTTTACTATATTACTTCATTCAAAAAGAATCAAGTCATATCCCGTTAGTTTTTTCATTTAAAGATAATCTAGTAATGTTTCAAAACAAAATGTCATTCTGATACTGATACTGACCGGTCCTTGGTACAAAAAAAGGTTAGGGACCGCTGACCTAAGGGACGATAACTGGCACGATTCGGCTTCGGCCTGGCGCAGGTTAACTATGACATCACATCCTGTGTCAGTGAACAGACGTGAACATTTCAACATGTGCAGAGAGTGTGGGTTCAATCTCTGAATGATGGCTGTGAGTTCACTGACAGGTGTGAAGGGATGAACTTGAGCTGTCCATAAGTGATCAGATCGGCCCAGACACACGGTGGACGCTGGTACCAGCAGCTCCATACACTGTATACTTTTCACACTCCCAGCGGTTTGCACTGCAGCTCAGTTCAGCAAACAGGTCAGCGCTTCAAGGTCCTGCGCCGGCTGACTGACAGTTTGCTCTCACGGGGCTGAGTGGCCTGAGCATTTCACTTCTAAACCGCCGCTCGTCTGGCTACTTTCAGATGTCATGCAGAGGAGCTGGCAGCGGGAAGAGCAGCCGCAGCAGATGCACTCCGACACTCCCAGATCCCCCGAAGCAAACGCACCGACACAAATTCCTGCTTGGGCAAGCGGAAGAGGTGACAAAACACATCAGGTAACATTTCCTTTACGCATGGTTCCCGCCCTTTCCTGTCACAGACGCTGGATGCCTCCACGTCAGGCATTAATGGTCATCCGTAGTGACAGGAACCTTTCGGCAGCAGGACGTGTGCAGCGGAGGCGTTAAACTGGTTGTTAACTGGTGCAGCAGATGCCAAATGGTAAACGGGAAACAACATAAATATTACTGCATTAGTATTCATGTGCAGAGTGGACAGATGTTTGGAGGGGAGGGGAGGGTAATTAAAAAAGCAAAGCTCATTAGTGGATCTGTTGGAGCCGCTTTTGACAAGAGTTTTACATGCATTAAAAAGAAGACAATGATGTCACAGACCGCTCCGTGACGAGGCCACACGAAGGTGTCGCTACTGAAAACCCTTCAGCCGTAAAAGTATGGACATCACAGTGGAATTAATGAAATTTGAAAATCTTGGATAACTCAGTTGGACTTTTATTGGTCTGAATATTGACGATAAAACGACACATACATTCTGGAAAAAGATAGGAAGAGATGGAAAAACTCAAGGTCATACATGTAGTATTCTGGGATGTTCCACAATTAGCAGGTTCTGTAAACTGTTTTTTTTTTTTTTGTAGCTTCACTAAAGGCTGAACCTTTGTGAGTCAGTAAAGACTGTGAGCTCATCACTTTGTCGTAACAGTTTGTGAGAGAGTTGTTTATTATTTATCAACCTTTTTTTTCCTTCCTTTCTTTTCAGTTTCAAATAGCGAAAAACTCAGACTTTATAACATAGAATTCTTGGAGGAGATTTAAGGAATTCAAGTCAGAAACTGCCTCTAAAGGTGTGTGACCTCTGACTGACCTCAGGTCTTGTCTGTATATTCTATTTATCCATGTGGGCCTGTCTTGTTGAACTATTACGGCATCAAAATGCTCCATTATTATGTGAAATACATATATAAATACATATATAGAGAGAAATATATATACATATATTGCACACCTTAATTACATCAAATATATTTTAACATATATATAATAAAAGATTTGCTACAAAAAATGTTTTTTGTAGTTATAGGCCTAATAAGTGATTACCTTAAGTAAATATATTTTTGTTCATATATATTAATTGCTAGTTACTAAACAATTAAACTAACAATTTAATTTTTTTACCAAAATAATTTCAGCGCTATATAGGCTGAAACAAAATCAAAAAGTGAATGCAAAATGTGTGCAACATATTATTGTCAATTTCTATCTGAAGAAAATAATAATAATTATTATTATTGTATTTCTGACAATTTTTCTACATCTTATCTTACTTCCATTTTCATAAAAATATATAACTTATGCATTTATTACATGATTGTTAAAATGGTTTTTTTTTCTGAATTAATTGCATTTTCAATAAAACATCTCTGGCTTCTTACTGAGGAAAAATAATTAGATAAAATAAGATAAATGTTAATTTTTCATGTGGCTACATCATAAGTTCAAATGAGTCAAGAGTCGGATATCGACGCTGAAGAGAATAGAAAACGTGTAGTGACTGCAGTTTGGTTTGGTCAGCAGACGTGCTGTGAGTTTTTTAAAAAAAAATATATATATATATATATATCGGTGAAAGTGGCGTGGGGGGGGGGGGGACACGCCGAGTCCAGCCGGGGGCCC